TGGCTGCAAGTCTTCGGCAGCATTTGGTTTGCCACGGTCTGTGGCCACTGCAACGATGCGGCGCGCCAAGCCTGGATGGCTCGTCAAGACCGTGGCAAACCAAATGCTGCCGAAGACTTGCAGCCACCAGTCGTTCCATTACTTTACCCACAACACTAGTGAAGCTGACTTGTCGGTAGTTCCCAGGGTCACTCCTATCCCCAACTTTGGTAGTGGAACAATGACAAAGTCCTCCCATTGCCGCGGTAAATGCCCTTGAGTGAATGGTAAATTGAACAGGTTGCACAGTAGCGCTGCACATTCATCTGCCAGCTTCTCCAGGATCAGCGGGTGCACACCATCAGGTCCAGGTGACTGGTAAACCTTTAATCGACGCAGCTCCAGGGCCAGCTCGCCGATTGTAAATGGAGCCCAGTTCAGCGAAGTGTCAGTGTTCAGTAGATGTGCCAGTGTGCTGGAATCTGGGGTGTACACTGAGGCATAATGTGATGTCAGCATCTCCGCTGTGTCCTCATATTTTTCAGCTAGTGCCCCATCTTTGGCGAGAGTTGGAAGACCAGGCGTTGCTCTGATTGTTCGCCTGGTGCCTGTACTGAATCTGCTGCTATTCGTTCCTCGAATCTGGTTCTCTTGCATTTATTTTAGTGCAGTACAGTGATACGGAATACATTGATATTCCTCATATCCTGCGCCTGTTGCACGGTACCTGGACCAGGATTTATTCCGCTGCCGGAGGCATGCCTGCAGTTCTCGATCAAACCTCGGCGGGCCCATAGCGTGTGTTCGGTGGCGGNGAGGTGGAGAGAATTCTATTACAAATCAACTCCCAGGATACATTCACATCCTCAGGGTTCCCGGAATCGCAATTTGTGAGCGATGCAGCCTGATGCATATCCGAAAATAATGAGGGCCACACATTCCGTCCGTTCTGTGGTCTGTCCGTTTGGGGTACGCCACGCCTCCAGTGTATACGCAGAACGGAGTGATCACTAGATCCAATTGGTGTAAGGAGGTCAATCTTAGTCATATCTGATTGCCTCGGCGAAAATACCAGGCCAAGGATCGATCTTTGATCCTCAACTATCCGCCTGGGCACATGAACATGCTGAACAAGCTAGAGGGCCCGGACAACGAAAAGTTCTCCGGAAAACAAATTTGCCTTCTGAGAGCAGATGTCAGTTTCCCAATCAACATGTGGCGCGTTTAAATCACCCAAGATAAGACAATGTCCATCGCAGGCGTACCTCTGTATGCTGGCCAGCAGCTCTGGGACGTACACAGCTGGTGTGCGGTAAATCACTCCAACTGTGGTATACAATCCGGCACAAAGCTTGATTCTGCACCACAGGACTTCTCTAAATCCTTCCGGATGGGCGTAATTATCCAGTATTCAAACGGAGAGACCAGAGCGGAAAAAATAACAACTCCACCACCGCGACGTGATGATGATCAATCCTTTCGAAAAACTGTGCATCCGTGGAGTGATATAATAATAACAATAATAATATCTCGCAGTCCCGGATATCTGGTGTCAGCCAGATCTTAGTGATTGCAAAAAGATCGGGATTGTGGGAGACAACCCAGTCTTCCAGCTCATCCCTTTTCCCCAGTATCCTTCGGGTATTGGTTTTCCACTGAGAGGTTAGGTCAGGTCAGGTTTCTAGGACGAAAACAGGCTTTCGCCTAACGTGCGTCCAGATTCATACACCAGTAGGATTTGGGACTTCCTCTGGTGCTACGACGTGAATATTGTTTTCGTGGGTTATGATGATTCGTTTACCTTCTCTAGATTCGGACAGCTACCCCAGCGAGCAACAATACCAGGGGGTTACTTCAGATGATACTGTTTAGAGTTAAGTCCAAAAGGTTTACACAGGGATGAGCGGTAAGAATAAGAAACTAACAGTACCATTGTGGAGTCGCACTTTCGCACTCATATTAGAGACCGGCAGTTGTAGCACATCCAGCAATAGCCAGTAAAGGGAGCATC